GGATGTTGCTGAATATGTTATGTCTGTAGCTCTCCTCCAGTCACACAAAGACCACAGCAGGAAAATCACTGCTTCTCATTCAAAAAACTACACTCCGTTTTTCTTGGTGCTCCTGGCTTCCTGCCAACACTTCATGAAGACTCTCAAGGACCCACTGTCTCTGGGTTTAACCCTTACAGGCAATTTAGTTAACTGAATGCCTGGGGTATCCAGAAAAGGAAGTACACTTCTCATTTATCACAGCCCTGCATAGCATGATTCGGGTGATGCAGGGCCCAGTGAAGTCAGACACCTATATAAAGGTGTACACACTGATCTGTGGATATAAATGCAAATGACTTACTTGACTAGACCTGCAGTATGTCCCCGTGAAACTGCCTTCTCATACTGCTTTTTGGCAGTTTCTTTTTCTTTTATATTTCCCAGATAGGCGATGCCATCAATTGTCCTGCAGATAAAACAAAAAACTGTGTGAAGATAAATGTATCTATGAATGTTTCAATTTATATGTGATCTGTATTTTAGAGACAAAATTCAGATCTTTTGGTTCGACAGTTTGTTTACAATAGATCCTTAGTACCTAATTTGCACAGAGACCCTAATGAAGTGCTTGACTAATTATCAGCCTAAAACAGATGTATGAGATGTATTTAAAGTCGCATTTAAAATATGGGATGGTTTATTTACTAGGCTCTTAATTTTAATAGCATATTTTTCTTTTTAAACAAACTTCTCTGTTTCCAGAAAAATGTCTTATGCTGGATGCAAAACCTTATGTTGGTTGCTGCAAAGTTTTTAATCTAGGAGGACCTGTAAAGGCAGAACCAACAAATCCTGCAGGATAGATATAACATTGATAATTTTGATTACATTTAAATTCATTCTAATTATAGATTAAATTAAACATAACAGAATAAAACAAACATTTTGGAGCAGATAGAAATTCAGAGACGTGGGCTTAGCACTGTACAGAGCAAGACACAGCTCTAACTATAAAAATAGATTAAAAACTAGCCCCGCACCTTAGCCCTGGTATGCATATTTTTGCTGTGGTGTTCACAATACCTCTGACCAACAAAAAGATTAAAATAGCACCAAAAGAAAGCCAATGCTAAACAGTTCGCTTCATATTTTCAGCACTGCTTTTTTATTTACAACATTCACGCTTATCTTTTTTTTTTATAATTTACTGTGACATTTTTCAAATGAGAAAACGAGTTAAATGTAAATTGTGTCACTGTGCAGGTGAAAAAGAAAAACAATACAGCAAGTGAGGGATAAGCTGGCAACAAACTACGTACATGCTAAAATTGGTAATGAAGGCTGTCTTTGGGAGCTCCACATCGAAAACCACTTCTTTAGACACATTAGCACGATTGACAGCTCTACTGGTGATGACAGTGTGGACAAATCGAGATGTCACTTTGCTGTCAATGTTTATGCTGTAGATCTCTATGCCATTGAGGATCTGAAGAATGAGAAACCCCGGTCATAGTGGAATCTGTGCTAATTCTTTTAATTCCTTTCTCAGGTTCATTTGACGATGGTAATCAGAGGCTACATCTACTCTTCACAGTTATTTTGGAATAAGTTATTCTGGAATAGCTATTCCAAAATAGCTTATTTCAAAATAGCAGGTCTACCCTGCAGGGAAGCCTCAAAATTAGTGTGAGGAAGGTTCCCTAACATAGACATGCTATCTCGATTTAGAGCCCTAAGAGGAATAACTTAGAATGGCCCTGGTGAGGGGCTATTTCGAAATAGCAGAAGTGGAGTGCCTTATTTCAAAATAGCTATTTCGGAATAGGCGTTATTCTTTGTTGAATGAGGTTTATAGAAATTGGAATAAGCCATCCGTTATTTTGAAATTATTTCAAAATAACTCAATTGCTGCGTAGACACTCGCATACTTATTTTGGAATAACTTTGCTGTGTAGACACATCCAGAAAGAATAGGTTTTAGGGGTTTTCTATGATCTGTTTCTGCTAGTCAGCTGGGTGGATTAAGCACCGCACAAGCGCCTAGCTTGCAGGGAACACTGTGGCCATCATAACTGACTGCATCTGAACTGTGTTTCATGTGGACACAAATCCCAGGTGGAGTCCACTAAGACATGAAGTGCGTAATAGGGTCAGATATGGGTTGCAACTTACTCACAGTCTTCCAAATGAGCCAAAGTCATTGAAATCCATAATACGAGCATGAGGAGTAACAACACCTTTCACCCCAAAAGGCCTGAAACTCGCCCTCTTGTGTCATGAGAGCACTTACCACATCACTGGTGCTTCGCTTCTGTAAATTAAAAAAAAAAAAAAAAGAAGTGAATATAAATTTTCCACAGTTATACTTATCTTGGTGACAGCGGGAAAGTAGCAGAGGACAAGTCACTGATGCATTTCATTCTAACGGGTTAAGCATTTAGCTAGTCTTCAGTGGAATTTCACTACTTATTTTTGTTTGCTGTGTTGTTATAGCCATGTGGGTACTAGGATAAGAGAGACATATGGTGGGAAAGGCAATATCTTTTATTGGACCAAATTCTGTTGGGGGAGAGGGACCAACTTTTGAGATTACACAGCGCTCTTCAGCCCTGAGGACAAATTCTGTGCAAGCTTTTGTTTCACTACCACAATACTAGATATTATCTTGCCCACTTGCCTTGCTTTTTGTCAACCTGCTTGACCCGTAATTCTCACAAGAAAGCCCCTGCAGTCCACCCAACAGCTCTCAACGAAAGTGCAAGGGAGGTAGTTTTATAGCAACTGATAACTAACTTCCGTAAACATTATCTCAGCAGAAAGCCAGATAATCACATGTTGTTGGTTTTCCTTGAGTTCCTTAGTGGAAAAAGCACCTGATGGGAGGTGACATGATGTGAAAGAGCACAATTAACTTCTGCTCCCACTCCCAGTCATGTCATGTCCTCTAAGTAGACAAAATACTTGCCAGCCTAAACAATGCATACAATATGAATTCTCTGCTGCTATTACTTGCTCATGTAAACAATTGTTGGGTTGCCATCAACATGGTTATTATTGCAATTGGGAGGTGAGACCATGGTCTGCGTGACCACAAACAGAAAGGGACGTTTGAATATGAAAAACTCATGAGGTTCACTTTAAGAAAAATTTGAGACTCACCCGCCCCCATGGCATAACATTTACTACTGGATCAGAAGTCTACTACTATGTCATTAACACGGAACAACACGTGTTAAATAAGGCCCTGAATCAGCAAAACCACTTTTCTAACTTGAAACGTGAACCACCTCTTTGATCTCACACTGGCCCTACTCGTTTTCCTAAGGCAGGCACATGCTTCTGTGCTTTGTGATATAAATCTCCCTCGTTCATTGGCTGCCTTGCTAATTTCCAACATTCAATAATTTACAGTGGGTTTTCCCCTTCCTTTATACAAACAGCAAGTTCTATAGTGTAATGTACAAAAGAGAGAGGTCACATCAGCTATCTTCAGACAACTCCATTGGCACCCCTTACATTTCAGTAATGAATTAAAAATTACTTTCCTGGTGGGTTTTGGTTGGAGTGGTAGCGGTTTGTTCTAACAACCCCATCGCTTTGGTCTCACCTCAGACTAGCTAGTAGCCGTGGCCCCTCTCGCGATTCAGGACACCTTCTGCATCCTTTATTCTTCGGCTAACTGCTGATTGTGCACTTCTCTGGTTGACAGTAGCTCTTGAAACAGAGCCTTTGGCACGTTGAAGGGCATTTGATGGCCTGTGCTTAATTCAGGGGAGGGCAACAAAAATTTGGATCCAGCTCATCATGGTCTAACAGCACCGTCAGGCAGGGTCCCTGACTGCTGTGGCTGCACACACCACTCAGAGTGGCCATTTGCTGGGGCCAGAGTGTGTCTCTCTGCACTGGCCATGCCCCTTGTGGGGAGGAGGCGGGGGAGCAGCGGGTCTTCATGTGCTACTCATGCCTGCAAGCACTGCCCTGGCAATTTTCTTTGGTCAGAAACGGGCCGATGAAAGCCTGCGAGGATGATGCTGAGGGCCCGGGCAGGGCACAGAGACGCCTTGCCCCAAGGAGCAGGCCACGCAGACACACACTGGCCCCAGCAGCCGGCCACTCTGAGTAGTGTGTGTGGCTGCGGCCGCCAGGGAGCCTGCTTGAGGGTCCTTGTGGCCCGCCACCCGGGAACTGACTACGGTAAACGTCTCCCGGCCTGAGCCTCCATCTGGCCTCCCCCTCCCCCATCCCAACCTCCTGTCCCAGGTCACCACCCCTCTAGTGTTCACTCTAAGATGCTGGGTCGCACAGCTTCACAGCCCCGCCTCGTCAGTCCGCTCCATGCAGGGAGCCCTGAGCCTCTGGCTGGGTGGGGCCGATTCGTTGTCTGTGAAGCTGGGCTGCTCTGCAGCTTAGAGGGAACCCAGGTCTGTACTCCAAGAACGGTGAACATATGGGGCTGAGGCAAGTAGGGCAAGCTAAGCCTTCCCAGAGCTGATCGCGGTGTTTGTACCAGTCTGCAGCTGTGTGGGGCTCTGCCGGTGTGCTTGGAACAGGCTTGGGAGCCTGGCAGATGCAACACCAGGTAAAGGGGACCCAGGTGGGTTCAGTGGTATCTCAGCCCATCAGGTGACACCCCAAGGGGTCCCCAGGGTGCAGGAGAGGCCTCTGGGCTGGAGGCCAAAGTACCATAGAACCAGAGATCTGGAAAGACCTCAGAAGGTCAAGTCCAACCCCCTGCGTAGTGGGTTTCAGAGTATGGGCAGTGTCTCCTGGCTGGGATAGGGGGTTAGTATTTGTGGGGGTTTTTAGCAGACTCTGGGCTGGGATTGGGGGTTGAATGCTTTGGGGGTGCAGGTGGTCTAGGCTAGGATTCAGAGGGCAGAAGGAAGATCCAGGTTGGGACTGGGAGTTGAAGGCTTTGGGGTGCTGAGGATGGTCTAGGCTAGGATTCAGAAGGAAGATCCGGGCTGGGACGGGGGTTGGGTTGGGGGTGGGACTCAGGGCTGCAGACCCTGGGCAGCTCTGAAACAGCTCCTGGAAGCAGTGGCATTCTCCCTGTCTGGTGCCTAGGCAGAGGCCCAGCCAGCAGGCTCTGCGTGCTGCCCCATCCACAGGCACTGCTCCCATTGGCCATAGTTCTCAGCCAATGGGACCCGCAGATCCAGCTCTGGGGACAGGAGCAGCGGACTTTTAATGGCAGTACTGACTAGAGCTGCCCGGTACTCTTTCTGACCAGCAAAAAATCAGACACTTGGCAAACCTACCACCCTCCGACTACGTGGTTGCTTCTGCCACTGAACTCTTGACACTCAAACAGTACTTTTCATACAGCATACATTTTTGGGGGGACTATAACATCATCAGCTAGGTCTATCCCCCATAAAACAAACAATTGAGCTGACACTAACGTACCAGCTACATACCTTGATGATGTCCTTGAATGGTGCTACCACAAATCCAGCATGTGCAGTAGTTCCGACAGATGCCAACAAAACATAAAACAAGAAACTATCCATATCGAAAAACTGCGGATGCAGCGCAGAAGCCCCTGCTCAGTAACCTCAAAGGGCGGTCGGTGTGTTGTTTCACTTAGGTTGAATAGGAAACCAAGCAGTTCAAACAAACAATTGCTGGAAAAAGTTGTTCAGCCACCACTTCCTGAGGGAGAGAGGATTGTTGTTCAGTTTGTTGGGGGGAGGAGTATATCACGTTAAGTGTGTGGGAGGAGTTATGAGAGGCAGATGTTGCAGCAAACACTGAATGGATCAGAATGTGGCAGAAGCCCCCTTTCCCCAGACAATGTGACACAGTAGCAGGGATAGGGAACTGCCTACGGTAAACGTCTCCCGGCCTGAGCCTCCATCTGGCCTCCCCCTCCCCCATCCCAACCTCCTGTCCCAGGTCACCACCCCTCTAGTGTTCACTCTAAGATGCTGGGTCGCACAGCTTCACAGCCCCGCCTCGTCAGTCCGCTCCATGCAGGGAGCCCTGAGCCTCTGGCTGGGTGGGGCCGATTCGTTGTCTGTGAAGCTGGGCTGCTCTGCAGCTTAGAGGGAACCCAGGTCTGTACTCCAAGAACGGTGAACATATGGGGCTGAGGCAAGTCCCTCAAGCTAAGCCTTCCCAGAGCTGGTGTTTGTACCAGTCTGCAGCTGTGTGGGGCTCTGCCGGTGTGCTTGGAACAGGCTTGGGAGCCTGGCAGATGCAACACCAGGTAAAGGGGACCCAGGTGGGTTCAGTGGTATCTCAGCCCATCAGGTGACACCCCAAGGGGTCCCCAGGGTGCAGGAGAGGCCTCTGGGCTGGGGGCACAAGCTGGAAAGACCTCAGAAGGTCAAGTCCAGCCCCCTGCGTAGTGGGTTTCAGAGTATGGGCAGTGTCTCCTGGCTGGGATAGGGGGTTAGTATTTGTGGGGGTGTCTAAGGGCTCTGCCTGGGTGTGCAGACTCTGGGCTGGGATTGGGGGTTGAATGCTTTGGGGGTGCAGGTGGTCTAGGCTAGGATTCAGAGGGCAGAAGGAAGATCCAGGTTGGGACTGGGAGTTGAAGGCTTTGGGGTGCTGAGGATGGTCTAGGCTAGGATTCAGAAGGAAGATCCGGGCTGGGACGGGGGTTGGGTTGGGGGTGGGACTCAGGGCTGCAGACCCTGGGCAGCTCTGAAACAGCTCCTGGAAGCAGTGGCATTCTCCCTGTCTGGTGCCTAGGCAGAGGCCCAGCCAGCAGGCTCTGCGTGCTGCCCCATCCACAGGCACTGCTCCCATTGGCCATAGTTCTCAGCCAATGGGACCCGCAGATCCAGCTCTGGGGACAGGAGCAGCGGACTTTTAATGGCAGTACTGACTAGAGCTGCCCGGTACTCTTTCTGACCAGCAAAAAATCAGACACTTGGCAAACCTACCACCCTCCGACTACGTGGTTGCTTCTGCCACTGAACTCTTGACACTCAAACAGTACTTTTCATACAGCATACATTTCTGGGGGGACTATAACATCATCAGCTAGTTCTAGCCCCCATAAAACAAACAATTGAGCTGACACAACGTACCAGCTACATACCTTGATGATGTCCTTGAATGGTGCTACCACAAATCCAGCATGTGCAGTAGTTCCGACAGATGCCAACACAACATAAAACAAGAAACTATCCATATCGAAAAACTGCGGATGCAGCGCAGAAGCCCCTGCTCAGTAACCTCAAAGGGCGGTCGGTGTGTTGTTTCACTTAGGTTGAATAGGAAACCAAGCAGTTCAAACAAACAATTGCTGGAAAAAGTTGTTCAGCCACCACTTCCTGAGGGAGAGAGGATTGTTGTTCAGTTTGTTGGGGGGAGGAGTATATCACGTTAAGTGTGTGGGAGGAGTTATGAGAGGCAGATGTTGCAGCAAACACTGAATGGATCAGAATGTGGCAGAAGCCCCCTTTCCCCAGACAATGTGACACAGTAGCAGGGATAAAATGACTTTGCTAGCTGGGAGGGGAAAAATGGGGGGGAAAATCCCCCCATCCCTCAGTGAGGAGAGGGAAAGACAAGAGAGTAATCGCAGAAAGGGAGTGGGGTTAGTTAGCAGGATAGCTTGGCACCAGAGCCCATCGCCAGATAATTGAACAGGGTCCTGAAGCAATCGCTAGTGGGGGTGATGAGAGCCGTTGAGCCAAACTCAATGACCCCGAGGTTTTTTCCCTCCATATGGTTCTGTGAAAGTCACCGTTGCTACTTGCTTCATTTAAACACTCTAGGAACATGTAAAGGCCAGAAGTAGTGATGACATTGACGTTCACCAGTTGAAGATCTAGTTTGTTTTATTAAAGCTATGATTACCCAAGTATAAAAATTCCATACAGACCTGGTCACAAAGTTGCACATCTACACACATCCGTGACAACAGTGTTAGGGTCTGCTGGGTCATCAGCAGAGAGATGCTTCTGACGTCCCTCCCATGACCTATTGGCTTCTAGGGAACATCTTCACCTTTTTTTTTTTTTTGCTCAACGAAATAAATCCTTGGAGTTCCTCATGAAAAAAAAAATTATTGTTTGGTGTGTTTGGTGTTCCTCAGTCTTAAAAAGTTTAAGAAACACTGATTTAGCGGGTCTAGTATCTGGCATCTGCACTCCTTTTAGTCATGAAGTGTAAGAGAAGCCAAAGGGAGCGTTTGCTCCTGTCGGCCTCCCACAGTGGGAGCAGTGCCAAGCTCGGCTTAAGGTAAGCTGACTCCAGCTCCGTATTCTGCGTAGAGTACCTTAAGCCAACCTTTAAGGTCTCATGTAGATCTGGCCTAGATCTGCTTGGCGCCTATAGTCCCTGTATGGTATCCAGCTTTTTATGAGTGCCTCTTGCTTCTTTGCCAGCTACCTTACACCCATCTGGTTCTCTCTTATGGCTTGTCCCTCCTTTATGAGCACTAGATTTGACCTAGGTGCCATTTCATAGTACTTTTATCTACTTTTCCAGTGTCTGGCAGAGCCCCAGAGGAGCATCTAGCAGCCTGGACAGAAAGCCAAAGCGCTGATGGGGAATTTTGAGGTACCACGTGTCTATGACCTGTACTATCTCCATCTCAGTCACAGCAATTCCATGGGAGCACCATTCCTTTATAAGAGCAGGCTGAGTGAGAGGAGGTAACGGCGTAGAACACTCAGCTTGGAGAAGAGAGCAAGATTGCCATTTCAGGGAAAGGTTTGCTGCATGCTATTTGCAGAACTCCGTGGCAAATCAGCTTCATTTCTTATTTCTGGAAACAAATGACAAGGACGTTTGATCCTTTTTCATATTTCCTCCTGGGAATTTGGCCCATTTGAATAGGTGGTGTATTGCAGGGTGCACTGGCATAGCTATAGGGGTGAGTGTTAGGAGCATGTGAAGTAAATGGGGTAAAGACAAAAAAATAAGCTTGCTCTTTGTTTGACAAGGATAAATTGGCAAGAAAGAAAAAGTAAGTGAGGTGCAAAGCTGCACCCAGCCCTACCCCCATAAGCTGGTAGCTTTGCCTTTCAGGAACAAGAGAATATAAGAGGCTAATCAAGCAAGGGGCTGCTATAGCAACCAAGCAGCTGGAGGAACAGAAGGTGCAAGAAGGAGACACAGAGTCTGCAAGAGTGACCATGGCTAAAAGTAACCCCACTCCTCACCCCTCCTATCGGGTACAAAAGAGATGGTCTCATTTCTGCCCCGAACAGAACATGACCATGTACTAGAAGTGGTGGGCCCAGGGAGGGGCAGTACCAGAGGTGCACTCCAATTATCATTAAGTTTGCCAAAAAGTGGGGAGTGGGCTGAGGAAACTCCATTGTCCTGCAGCTAGGGGAAGAAGGGGGTTCTAGTGGCACATGGACGTGTGCAAGAG